ATATTCTTTGGTGGGAGTGCCGATGAAGCAAACGTATGTTTGCTATAGCAATCGACAACGTTGCTTATATCCGTATTTGAGTAGGGTTTCGAGACTACCAGTAAATCAGTGTAATGAGATGTATTCACCCTATTTCGTGTAAGATGAGAGTAAGGGTTTCGAGACTACCAGTAAATCAGTGTAATGAGATGTATTCACCCTATTTCGTCTAAGGTGATGAAGGAATCGAGACTACCAGTAAATCAGTGTAATGAGATGTATTCACCCTATTTCGTGTAAGGTGATGAAGGACTGGAAGTGACTACCAGTAAATCAGTGTAATGAGATGTATTCACCCTATTTCGTGTAAGGTGATGAAGGACTGGTAGTCGGTGTAATGAGATGTATTCACCCTATTTCGTGTAAGGTGATGAAGGACTGGTAGTACTACCAGTAAATCAGTGTAATGAGATGTATTCACCCTATTTCGTGTAAGGTGATGAAGGACTGGTAGTAGAGTAAATCAGTGTAATGAGATGTATTCACCCTATTTCGTCTAAGGTGATGAAGGACTGGTAGTAGAATTTCCCCATATATAGAAAGAGCCTTAAGTAAACACTCTACTAATGGATAATCTAGCTATGTTATGTTTGTAAAAGTTTCGGCCTAATAAGAGGATCAATAAGATAGAACATTCTACTACCAAGTTGAGTTAGCACGCAGAACCAATTATTTCCAGCCCGACCATGATCAAAGCTAATTTATATACCTTATAAACAACCAATACTAAATGAGTAAAATAAACCAAGTAATCTCCTCATTTGTAACTAAACTATAAAGGTAGTAATACTGCTAATTACAAATTACAAACAGGATTAGAAGCTCCCACTCTCCTATTATGACAAATAATGACCATGAAGTACGGAGACGAAAGAGAACAAATTTCGTAATCAGATACTGCAAATCAGCGCCCTCACTCTGCTGTGTAGAGCCGTATTGCTTCTTTAGTTATAGAAATCCAGCCTTTCGTCTTGCTACCCTCTCGTGAGCTCGGCTCTAACGAGCAGTCATGGGCCACTTCCTTAGCACGTCCCCTCAGCCACGCGTCAAGTTTGGCTTCCGAGGCGATAGTATCTCCGGGAACTAAGGGCCGAGGAAGAGGCACTGACGACCAAACCAGAGAGCAGCGTGTGGTGAAAAGGTCGGGGGCACAGGCAATCATCATGGCGAGACAGGCCTGCGAGGCGCGCTGGTCTGACAGAGCCTTCGGCTCGGACGCGATGCCAGGTCCTGGCGGTGAGCCCGGTGGTGATCCGGAGGTGGAATTGGTGCTGCCAATGAGGACGATGTTATGCAGACGAGCTGGACTGACCACAATATTATTAGCCGAGCCGCTTCTGGCACTGTCGTTAGGTGAGCCGGGACTGCAGCCCTCTAGGACGTTGGTGCCAGCGTCCCCGGTACTGATGGCGCTGAGTGTAGTACTGGTGGTGAGGACTGTTGAAGCCTGTGTCGTCGAGTGAGGAAGCCGAGCAGCTGATATTTGCTGGCTGGCTAGCAGGCCAGTGCCATTAATCGAGCTTGCCAACGAGGTCGAGTTGAGATGGAAGAGTGAAGGTGAAAAGCAGACGGCCAGATTGCTCTCTGACATCTGAGAGCAGTTGATGATGAAGACAAACAAGCAAATTAAGAACAGGAAAAAAAGCAAAAAGTAAAAATTAAGGCAAAGAAATGAATAAAATGGTAAGTAAAATAAGAAGAGTGAGGAATAAGAAAACAAGACAAAAGCATCAGGCAACTAAATTAATTAACATGATCAGCTACTATCAATAGGAGTGAATTACTAGTCACTTGATGGTACAGACATACACTTGGTCTATTCACGAATGATCGAATATAAATCTGATTATTTTAACTCTGCCTAAAATATTATAATTGCGTTCTAAACCAACATGGGCGCCGATTGCGATCGTGCACAGGCCCAGTAAGCATGTCAGACTGGAATAGCAGCTGGGAGGCAAGTTACCCGCTAGAATTGAAGTGGCATGTTTTCAATTCAAATCCATCTCAGCTATCATGAGTCTGAAGTGGTCTAAAGATGAGAACTTGGCGGGCTGGAACCTGCGAAAGTCTGGGTAAAAAACTCAATTGAGGGCACTAGCAAAAGTGAAATTGATATGCTTTCTCTTTGAGTCATGGAGTCTGGATCAAACATTAGTTCCCCTCCAATATAGATCTCATGAGAATCTCTGATGGAATTCGAAACCATGAAGTGGAATTACAGGGATCATGTTGATTAAAAAAAAGAGTTTGCCAGTGATCGCTTGAGGCCAGGTTCTAGATCCTTCTTCGAAATGTAAAGTTTTGAATGTGCAAAGCAGTGCAAAGTCAAGTACTCCAAGAGACATCGATGATGATGGCCACTTCTTAGGCATACGCCAAATTATTTAATAGATCAGATTGTATTCTTTACGACCTCCATCCGCGTGATAGTTTGATTAAGCATAATGAAGAAACACTCTGTAATGTAGGAATGGCAGGACCTCAAGACTATAGAATGAGATATATGGCGGTTATGTCTATAGCTAGAGCTCGTGTTCGACTCGGCTGACAAATGTATGATGCTAGCATAGCTTGTATAAAAAACGGATTCCAGAAGCGGAATCCACAATGGAAATGAGGCCTGGCGCGCGAAAGTAAAAGTGAAAAGGAGCTAAAGAAAGTTCAGATGGCAAAAACATTGGAAACGGGTTAATTAAATAATGAACAGAAACTTATTTGTATTTTTAGAAAGGCCTTAAAAAACGAACCCTGAAATATTCCCTATCCTAGTACTTACATTCGTTCACCCGGCATAGCACCATGATAAGACTCAAGCTAAGCATTGACAGTTCAAACTAAGATGCCGGAAAAACATGTTGTAAAGTATCCAGTCACTGGACCGGACAACAATGGAAAATGTGACCAAGCCAGTAGCGGCACCACATCCGCCATCAATTTTAGGTAAGTTTAATCAAAGCTATGAAGACCAAGATGGTGTGGCCTTTTGTGTGATCGCAGTCTCCTTTCGTTGTAGTTGACCTTGTTTTCGCAACTCAATT